ACCTTGCAATCCTCCTGCCTCAGCCTCCCAGAGTGCTGGGAGAACAGGCATGTGCCATCATGTCCAGTTTATTTTCATTTCTTTATATCTCTTGTTGTTGTTGTTGCTGTTGTTTTTGTTTGTTTCTGATACAGGGGATGGAACCCGAGGATGGTGCGTGGTAAGCAAGTGCTCTATCACCCAGCTACATCCCCAGGCCTCATTTGGATTTCTTAAAATACTGCATGAAAGCATTCTAAGTTTACAAAAATGGAAATGGTTCTGGGGAGGGTTGGTGACCACAGATACACAACATTATGAATGTATCCAATGTCACTGAACTGTACGCTTAAATATGGTTAAAGTGGTAAATTTTGTGTGATGCATATTTTACTATAATAAAAAACTGAAATAAAAGAGAATAAGTAGCCAGACGTGGTGGCACACACCTGCAATCCCAGCACTCTGGGAGGCTGAGGCAGGAGGATCAAAAATTCAAGCTTAGCCTGGGCAATTTAGCGAGACCTTGTCTCAAGATAAAAACTGCTGGAGATGTAGCTTACTGGTAGAGCACCCCTGGGTTTGATTCCCAGAACCATAAATAAATAAAAATAAGTAAAATAATAGAAAACATCACTTACAATAACAGTGATCATGATCCAGGAAATTACTGCACCAAAATGTCACTACTCTAAATTGATGATCTTTTTGTCAGCCCCTAAAATTCTGTACCCAAATCTCACTCGCCTTATCCTGATCCCGGTTCCACTTCCAAGGGGCTGGACCTTCTAAAGTGCCTCGGCTGGCGCTGTGAAGCTGCTTCGTGTCTAAGCCGGCGTCTCCCACTGGGGGTCCACAGTCTCCTCCCCTTCCAGGTAGCTTCGCGGGACACGGGGAAACTCACCACGACCTTGAGTGTCTTCTTCACGCCGTCGCTGATGAAGTAGTTGTAGACGGCAGCCTTGACCTCCACCTCCTGGAGGCCAGTCTTCAGGGGCACGAGGACGTAGGGCACCGACACCGAGGACTTCGGCCCGATGGTCACCGTCTGGTAGTGGCGCTTCTTGGCAGTGGCCAGGCTGCAGAAGGCGGGGTTGTGAAGCAGCTCCACCCTCACCTGCAGGGGAGAGGGCGTCAGGGGCGGAGGACGAACGGTCAAGCACCCGCTCCTGCTCCCTGGAGGCGTGGCGACCTCAGGACCCACCTTGAGGCTCAGGTCCTCGCGGTAGTTGTAGAGCACCGCGCGGATCTCCACCTGCTCGTTGCGCACCACGGAGTAGGGCAGCCGCAGGTCGATGAAGAAGTCCTGCATCACTGTGATCTCGTAGGGGTCTGCCACGCAGATGCCTGCACGCGGACAGACAGAGCGTTGCGTTCAAGGGCAGTGTGGACACGCCGGGCTCCTGGTTCAATCCTGCGACTCTGCACTTACTTGCTAACCGCGGGAGCCATGCCTGGCACCGCCTCCCTCTGCCCAAGCACCTAAACTACACTCTGCTAGAGATGATAAATTCCAGGGAGGTGGGCAAGTGGCCTTTAGTTAATGATTTCCTTTGAAGTTTGAGGTCTGGGTGTGTAGGAAGAAAGAAAGCAAATGTAGCTATGTACGCTAGTGCAGGCCTGTAATCCCAGCACTCTGGGATTAAGGGATCACAAGCAAGAGGATCACAAGTTTGAGCCCAGCCTAGGCAATTTGGCAACTTAGTGAAACACTGTCTCAAAAAGAAAAAAAAAATTTTTTTTTGCTTTTTGTTTAAGGGTTGGGGATGCCTGGTGTGGTGGTGCATGCCTGTCACCCCAGCACTCAGGAGGCTGAGGCAGGAGGATGACTATGAGTTCACGAACAGCCTGGGATACATAGTGAGTTCAAGGCCAGCCTGAACTACACAGCAAGACCTTGTCTCACAAAACAAAACGAAACCTCTATTACTTGACAGAGACAGGTTGGGGTGGGGAGCTACAGTAACTGAAAGGTCCTCCAAATATAGCTGCATCTCCAACAGTGCAGCTCCAAGCCCTGTGGGATCACTGAACATCAGAATGTGGTTAACTGGACAGAGAGCTGAATTTTTATTTTTATTTCATTTGCTTTTGTTTGAAATTCATTTAGAGCCAGGTATGGTGGTGCACGCCTGTCATCCCAGCACTCAGGAGGCTGAGGCAGGAGGATCACTGTGAGTTCAAGGCCAGTTTGGGCTACATAGCGAGTTCAAAGCCAGCCTGAACTGCATATCGAGACCCTGCCTCAAAAAAACATAAAAAAACAACAACACCACCAAAATGTATTTGGTCTAACTCAGATTTAAACTCAAACACCAGCATGCAGCATGAATGTACATTACAGCACCAGTTACGTACATAAC